GGATTTTGAAGGATGTCTTGCACAACCTGGAAGCCTAAGCTGAGACTTGAAACAAGGGAGAAGTCATCTGTGAGCCCCAGTTAGGACAATGTCAAGCAGAAATATGAGAGCCGAGCTGCCGCATGTTCCTACCAGGGTAATGCCTACTGGAGTCCAGGGACAAGGTCACCCTTGAGACTCCAGAACTGTTGAGCTACCAGTGTGCAACCCCAGTTTAGAAAAGCTATAGGTACAACACTCCAATCTGTGAGTTGGAAAATGAACTGATTCCAGCAAAGTCTTGGGGGCAAGAGTTTCCAACATTTTGAAGACCCCCACGACTATGGGGAAGTTCAGGATGTTCATGTTCAGGAAGTAGCACATGAGATAAAAGATTATTCTGAAGCTTTTGAAGTTAATGTGTGTTCTCTTGGGTTTCATATTTGTTTGGGGTCTCTTACTCCTTTCTTCTTGTAGATTGGGAATAACTTCCCTATAACTACCCAAAGGCTTGTCTTGCCTTTGTGTTTTGGAGGCATGTTACTTGTTTTGATTTCATAGGCTCACAACTAGACTTTGGGCTTTTGAGTTAGTGTTGGAATAAGTTCAGAGTTTGAGGACTCTTGGGATGAAGTGGATGTATTTTCCTAAGCAAAAAGTCCATGAATTTGGTGAGTCTAGGGCACAATGCTCTGGTCTGAATGTGTCCTTCAGAAATACATGTGTTCTTGACTCAGCTGCTGTGTTATTTGCTAAGACACTGCTACTGGGAGGTTGGGGCCACGTGGGAAACCCAGGTTTTGTTTTTGGCCCAACCTAAATAGACTGGGCATGGTGGTCAGTGCCTGTAATCTTAGCTACCTAGAAAACTGGGACAGAGAATTCTGATATGGTGAAACCCTATTCCCCCCTCCAAAAAAAAATTTTTTTTTCTCTCTCATAAGTAAATAAGTACACTTAAAATAAAAAGAAGTGTATGTGTTAAAATTTGGTGAGCAATTATAATGGTGTGGTGTGTTAAAATTTGGTGAGCCATTATAATGGTGTGAGGAGGGTGGAGACTTAATTTAATTATGATGTTAAAAGGTGAGGCCTTGGGGAAATGACTAAGATTAGATGAGGTCATCAAGGTGGATCTCCTGTCATTGACTCCTGGGAATCTATAAGAGAAGACATGGACAGAGATGTGGTTATATGCAAGTTCTTGCTGTATGGTAGATGCCTTGCATTGCCTCATGAGTCTGCAAAGAGTTTCCATGAGCAATAAGACTCTTACCACATCTGACCCCTTGACCTTGGACTTCTAAAGCTTTGAGCTAAATAAACCTCTATTCTCTAAGTCACTCAGATTCAAGTATTCAGTTATTCATCAATAGACAATGCATTACAATATCCAGGTATGATCCTGGTACTTGAAATTGCTCTAATCATTGGAAGCTGGACTCACTCCACCAAGAATAGGTGGTTCAATCCCCTTTCATGAATGTTTCCCACGTGAACAAATTCAGAACAAGGTTAACTAATTAAACCATATTCTCTCTTTATAAAATAAATATCTAATGTTTTGTTTTTTTATGTTATATAAAATTGCTGCATAAATTAAATTCAATGGTTAGTAATTATAATGTTGACTATGCTTTCTGAAATTCAACTTTTCTGGCCCATTTCACAAATTAGAATCTGATGCATCCTTTATAGGAGCAATATCCCACTATAATTGAATATATATCATCTGATGCCAGATTCCAGCTGCACATCACCTGTTCCATCTTGCAGGAAGTGATTATCAATGCACTGGTATGGTTTAAATGTATCAAATATCATTCATTTATATTGACTTAACAATACATATAGGACCCTAGACTGCAAACAGATTTTGATGCAAAGGGGGATCAAGGCAATAGGATAATCAAGGCAAGTAATCAAAGTCATGGGGGTCTTGGGGCAGCAGAGTGGCTAACATGAGCTACCCAAAGGTGGAAAGAAATGAAGAACAGAGAAAGTAGTATCCATCTGTCTATGGGACCCTGAGTCCTAATTATGGGAAGAATGTGGGGATTAGTAGAAAGAATCCTCAGTTTCTGAATATAAGCAACAACTTTGGAGAAGCAGAAGAAATCACTCTTATACCCCACACTGTACCTTCTATTGCATAAAGTGGAAGACTGTTTGTTGAATGACACTGATTTTCCTCATTTGAAGATAAAATTACAATATTTTGTCCTACTAGAGGCTGCAGCACTTTAAAAGACCTCAGACAATGGTGCTTAGTCTCCTGGGCCTGATGGAAGGATCTGGACTTACCCGTCCTTTCAACTAGTGTATATTAAAAAAAAAAAAAATCTGCCATGAATCTAGTTGCAGATTTAATTGCATCTGTAGTTTTTGCTTCATGGAGGCTTTGTTGGAATTATTGAGGAATTATTGGGTCACAGCTCAAATCCCATCTTTTGTTCATTCATCTCTTTAGTTCTCACATATTAAAATGAAATTCTCTCAGGAATTAAAAAATAACAATAAAAGCATTCTGATTATTTTCCAGGGTAAGAAAAAAGAAAAAATAATCTTTACTAAGTTTATATATAGCAGTTCTTAGAGGAGCTCAAATGTTGTTCTGATAAGGTCAAGATGTCCTAGATTTGCAGAGGTCACAGAAACCAAATGGAAATGCATAATGGACCAAAATGAGGTCTCCTGCATCATGGAGTTTGAAGTGGAGTTGATAAAATGGCTTTGCTCTTGCTAAAAGTATTCATGGATTTCAAAAAGTTTTGCACCAACATAAACCTGTACTTTGACTACCTCTTTCCACGAACATTCATGCATGAGAAGAGAGATAGAAAGCACCCTCAAGAGGGCCCAGTCATGCTATAATCTCCTTTACACAAATTCTCTATCCTACCAGAACCCTGGGCATGCACAAGCTCAGCAGGCTTTTCAAACCACAGGGGCTAGGACTCAAACTCTGGTCAGCAATGTGGAATATGGTTTCTTCTGCACAATGCTTAACCACTCACTATCAGGTAGGCCAGACTGTCATTAATTTATAAAGAAGATATCAAAGAAAGTAGTCACTGGCATAGATAAATAAGATAGAGAACTAGGTGGGGAGATTTGCTTGGATCATGGTTTGGGTAGAAGGAGTGAAGAAGGAGGTTATTATCAGCAGCCAGGATATTGCCCTTTTTGCTATAGGTGCCAGAGTGGGCATTAAAATTATAGAAGCCAGACTGTTTGGTTAACTGAAAAATAACATTTTTAGTATGGACTGATTTTCTGTGCTTTAAGAATAGGGTAACCAGAACTTTTAAGCAACCGACAGTTCAAAACCGAATTGAGCTGCTCTATGAAATAACAAATTTTTAAAACAGGGAATGAACAACCAACTCTGAAATGTTTAAGAGAAGACTGACATTGAGCAAAATGGCTTTCAAAGTTTTATTGCTATAAGTTTTCTATGAAAACTAGAATTGTTCTTTTTTATGGCCTAAGCAAGAGACTCTTGATACTTGAAAATCTCTGATATATCTTCTGTCTTCTTCATTTGATTTTTGCCTGAAAATTTTATAAGCCTGTTTCCTTTAACCAAGAAATTAATAATATTGTTGGTTAGACAAATGCATTACATGTAACCAAGAAATTGACAACATTGTTACCAAATCACTAATATTTTGATAATATGATAGGGAATTACATAGACAGGAAATCTATAACATTGCAGGAGAGCTCCCCAACGTGGGTGGAGATCAGCCTGCTAAGGTGGCTGGGAACATAGATTCTGAGCTCAGCCCACTGGGGTTGGAACTCCAACCTTGCCACTTATCACCTGAATGATCTTGTGAAAGTAACTTAATCTACATCCCTACCTTAGTGTAAAAACCATAAAACAATAGTAGCTACACAAGAGGATTATTGTGATTGTTGAAGGAAGTAATCCTTACAAAGGATTTAGCACAATGCCTGTCATAAAGGGAATTTTGGATAAGTGTCAGCACTGCTCATTGAGATGCCACCACTTTCTGCATACACTGTAGAATCTTTCTTCTCTACTTTACTTATAACTCTGTCATTTTAAGCATAATTTAAAGTGCATGTCTTGGCATGAAGGGGTCTTAAAAAATCATGGAAAATGAATATTATGAAAATGCTAGGCATAGATTTCAAAATTTTTGTACCAAAATAACCTCATTACTTTATTTCCATTGTTCAATGAACTTTTTGATGTCCTCTTATACATACGATCTTTTCTTCTCTGGCTATCAAACTTTTCAATATATGTTGATGTACCTTCTTCATCCCAATCCCCTTTGTTTTGTGGTGTCACCTCTCTGGCTTCCAGAGAGAAGCTCTCCTTCTTGCAAGTGCGACCTAGAGCTAAGAAAGCCAAGATCTGCTGGATGTGGTGCTCTTGGAAGACTCATGTTTTCAGGTGTCCTGAAGGAGAGGCTCTGCATCCCTACTGAACCTTTTCTTTGTCCAGTTTTGTGTCTGCATAAGAGCTGTCATCCATTATTGTCTTCTGTAGGTATCACCTACAGTCTTAGTATCACAAGGATAAATATTTTTCTTCATCCTTACAACATGGAATTCTAATCTTGATTTTATCCCACCCTAATCCACTCCTATAAAACATGCTGCAAGAGGATTTCATGGTGAGTGCATATCTGCCCAGACTTTTTAGAATTTCACTCCTGGACTTCTGGGAGTCCTATTTCCTATTGACACGCTCCCCAAGATAAGACATTTTCTTCCTCTGCGGGGTGAGTATTACCCTTTAAGCAGGACCACTCTCAGTACCCTTTCCATATTAGTGTGAAATATCTCTCTACCTCAACTGGAACCAATGGCCCTACAATGAATTTCTCATTCTTATAAATGTACATCTTCAAATAGACAAGATGGAACAAATGCATAAGCTTATTCGACACATTTCCAAAGGGACTCACTTGCACATTCATTTATTGACCACCAAATGCTACAGGTCATAGTTGTTGGAAAAAATTAGTATAGAATGCAAAAGCAGTACTGTTCAAAGATGGATGACACTTGAGGACAGAACAGAAGTCCTGGGTTCAACAGAGGTAACTTCTTTAGCGCCCTTGCTCACCATTTCTCTTGCATTTTTTGTGGGGTTCATTTGCCCCTGAAATAGAAAACATAAAGGCTGAAATTAAATCTTATTTTTCTTTTTGTCTTTTAAATAATTCAGCACAAAATTGTTCATAGACATGAAAAGTCATAGAATCTTAGATAGTAAAAACATCACAGATCTTGAGGATTATCTGGTCAATGAATGGAAATGGAAGGCTCAGTTCTTAACAAGACAAACTTCTCTAGTGTACTTTGGGGGAATTATTCAGCATGGGCAATGAGACTTTTATTTGCATCTGTATACTTGTCTGGTTATTAAAAATAAATGTATTCTTTCTCTATAGTTTTTTTTTTTCATGTAAAAACATTGAAGGAGGGGAGTAGTTCATGCTATAGAATCATCTCAAACTTTCTTTTTGAAAAGGAAAGTTCAAGAGAAACTTTTTCTCTTAAAACACAGGATGTTTGATGATATTTCAGACAATGGCAGCTATCATGAGAATCTTCTTTGAGGGTTGTGGTATATGGGAGTCCAACAGATAAATATGCCCGAGAGTTTGCAGAGGGTCGTAACCAAGAGAGATGAGCACCCACTGGTGGGAGAGAGAAATGTCAAAGAGCCAACCAATAGTCAACTGACAAAACCCATTCCCAGTCTTCAGTTAAATCTAAACCAGTTGTGCCTCGTTGAGAAAAATAACCAATTATCTGGTTCCTTAAAGGGTAGGAAGAAGAGCCTTCAGGCCAGGCTCTGATGTTCTTGTCTGAAGGGGGACTCTATGGAAATCATAAATCAACAAATTTCATGGTTGAAAATATCTGATTTCATGCCTACTTACATTGATACAAATGTCATATTGAAACTATGAAGTGTATGTTATAGCTGGGACACCCAGAGGCTCTTCCTAAAATTGTCCTTTATACTACTGGCTTGTACATGATTTATCAGGCTGCTTGAGTCACAGACATGGGAAAATGCTGTTTTAATACATTTCTAATCAGTTTTCAGCATTAAATTACAGGTTTGACTATTTTATAATGATCTCAGTACTGTTCACTTTGTGATACTATGATGGGTGCCAAGCTTTCTCCTCAGCAGGCATTCTGTGGTCTGAGCTTTCCAGTCCTGGGACGCAACAGTATAGAACTGGTTCAATTGCCTCAGACCTTTCCAGCAAACTTCCTTCACCCTAAGGTTTCTAGAGAGACCTCTCTTGTGAGTCAAGGGGTGTTATGGGATTTCCTGTACACCTTGATGAATATCTAGAACGTTCTGCTCTATTTTTTCCTCCCCTTTGGTATCCACTATTGTCTCATGACCCTGCAGGCACCATTATCTCGCAAGATACGCTGTTACTATTCTTTTAAACTTGGAGATCTCAGGGTATTCTAGTGTTAAACTAACTCCATTTTGTCTGTATCTTTGGCAAGCTGCTATGTTATTCTGTTACAAATATCACAACTGCACAACTGTGAACTGCAGACTAAGCCTACCTCTTATCACATATTCTAGCTTAAGAAAGTAGAACCTTCTGCTTCCATGCCATCTCCAATTTTTTTTTTCTTTTAGAGAGAGAGATATTTTTGCTATAGGGCATGCATACTTGCCATAGAGACAGAAAGTGAGAATCACCCCACTGGGGAGATGGCCAGGCTACAGTTCCTTCTCCTCCATTCTCCTCTTGGGATTTTAGGCACACATGCACATGTGTGAGTTTTAAGCCACCAGATATAGGATTCGAACTGCAACTGGCTACGCGGAAGTCCAGTGACATAACCATTATGCCATCTGCTGGTCATGCAATCTCCATTTCTTTCTTACTGAGACTTGTTCTTATAGGGCAGCAGAGAAAGATAAAATTTCATGTGTCCTGCAGCATCTATTGACCTTTACCAATAGTCCATCACTGAAACTCAATCTCCTCAGGGGAGTTTTTCCTTCTAGGAATATTGCTGGGGAAATTAAGAGGTCATTGTTTGCCCTCTGATCTCTTAAAATAGTTTTGAGGAGGAGCATGTAAGTCATTCCTGTGGGGCAGGCCCGTAGACCTATATTACAGGTTAGCTTTAGGCAACTCCAATCCTACCAGTGAATCTGGAAGGGTCAGCATTTGGAGAACTCTAACTGGCTCCCCATATGCCCATTCTATCAAATTTTCTTAGACATGTTCAATTATTTTTGATTCAAATAAATTGTATCTAAATGTATTTCAATTATATTTTAGTTAGCTGGAGAATGTCTTGGCAATTCTCCACAGGTTTCAATATTCTCCGTTGTACATACCTTTTTTCTACTTGACATGACTTCTAATTCTTTTCTCTACTTGACATGGCTTCTCATTGACATTCTTCTGGTACTCAAAGCTATGTCATTTTCAAATCTGGTTTAGATTCCTACTTAGGGACCCTGGCAGTTAGCATCACAAATTTAGACCATTGAAAGAGTACAACATTTGGCATATATGAAGTATTTCATTTGTATTAATTGACAATTCACAAATGCATGATACTTTTATTCTTTGTAAATATATATATATATATATATATACATATAATCAGAAATTAAATGTATTCATTTTCTAATGAGAACAAAAACCAGAAGAAAAATATGAGCAAACTTTTGTGCTACTTTCTGTGCTACCCAGAGATCAAAAAAAGGAAGCCAAGCAACTATAGCATGGAAAGGACTTTGTGATATAAAGATAAAACATATGCACACACACACTCACACACACACACACTCACACACCCACACAGACTTCCTAATAGCAGAGCAAGAAAGACCTTTCCATAGATTAAGAGAAGAAGAGATTAGATTCTTGGAGAATCATGCCAGTGAGCAAGATTCTCTGGCATGTAGAAAGCCACTTCACTGGGGTGGCCACAAACTCTTTCTCTGAACTAAGAACTGAAGCCACATTGATGGTAGGAGGGTGAACTAGGCCAAGAAAAAGATCACTGGACAGAAGCTATCTTTTTAAAGATTTCTAAGAGGATAGGAAATTTTCAAGGCAATGGAAATGGTACTAGGAAATAAATTTAATTCATTAGTGAATCTAATGATTGGATACTTAGATGATGCTTGATTTGTGGCAGGCATGTGCTGAGCCACTAAAAACAGTTGAACTAATCATCAAGACTCTTGAGGTAGGTGTAATTATTATTCCCATCTCAGAGGTAGAAAACTGAAGAACAGAGAGGTAAGATCATTTGGCCAAGTTCTCCCAGCTCTAATAGATGGAGTCAGCACAGTCTATGTACTTAACCAAGCCACTATGGCATTTGCTTTGTGAAGTGCCAGGCCTACTTGATAGGAAGTAGGGATAGTTTTGCTCTAGGGCTGAATTCCTTTCAGGAAAGGCTTGCTGTCTTTTTCTCACACTGCATCACAGTTGTGGTTCCTTGTGATGGGAGTCAAGAATGAGAGGGAAGAAATGAGGTGGCTCTGATCTTCTCCTCGACCTCCTTTGCCTGACTCTTGGTTTTTCCCTTTTACTGACTCTTCCTCTTTCCTGACTGCAGAGGTGCAGCCATTGAACTAGTGAGATATAAACACTGACATCAGAAAAATCTCAGGGGTAGGGACAGCAGGTGGTGGAGTTGTTATGGCACTGGAGTCCCACATGGCTGACTACAGTTCGAGTCCCAGACTCGGCAGCTTGAAAATTATGGCAGGCACACGTGTGTGTGCCCAAAATCCCAGGAGGAGAAAGGAGGAGAAGGGATTGCAGCATGGCCATTCCCCCTTGGGGTGATTTCTCACTTTCCCTCTTATTGTGTCTATCTATCTCTGTTCAATAAGCACACACACCCTATGGTGAAATCCTTAAAAATAAAAGAAAAAAGAAAAGAAAAGAAAAATCTCAGCAGTACTGTGGGAAGAAATTCCTGAACTAGGAATCATGAAAACTGGATTCTAGCATTTACTCTGCCTCTAACCAACTGTGTGACCTTTGGAAAATCATGACATCTCTGGGCTTGTGATTCTCTGTCTGTAAAAAGACAATACTGGACTAGAACGATGTGAAACTTCCTTAGAGTTCCACGAGCCCATCACATAGACAAATTGAATACTTTATCAAATGTTCCACGAGCCCATCACATAGACAAATTAAATACTTTATCAAATGTTTTCACAATCTCGAGAAAACAACCTAAAATGACTAAGCTACTTTCAACTCCATGCAGTTCAAAAACAAGATCTTTTTCTCGTTTTTGTCTTCAGTCTTGTTTATTGTTTATATCAACATTCTTACTTGTTACTACAGAAGGTGAGAAAAGCTTCACACTGCCTGACCAGGTTTTACTGTAGTTTATTATTTTGTATTATTTTATTTTATCACAGTTTGAATGTCATAATACAAATCAGAATAGTCCAAAATAGTGCAAAGCCTGTCGAGATTTTTTTTGAGGAAATTCACAGGAACTTCCTGTATTTTCACAACTATTTAGCATATGCCAGATGGAGAAAATAATGCATTGCTTGTCGAGGAAGTGGGACATTTAGTAAGGCAATTTTTCACACATCAAAATACTGTCTTTTATCTCTGAACCACTCATAGGTCTATGAAGAGAGAAATTGCTTTAGGTCTATAAGGCTTTTGTGGTAAGAAATCTCTGTAAAAATCAGAGAAGAGCTTCTTTAGCCTCCGTTATGTATAAGTACTATTATAGGTGTTGAGGGGATTAAAATAAGCAGAGGCCTCCTATCTAGCTCAGGGGCTCATAGGAAAGCAAATAGGTGACAATACTTTAAACTGTGTGGTGATGAAATTGGGAGTGTGAGATGGTGGCCAGGCCAGATCAGGGCCTTTGAGGATGCCTTTAAGGCCCATGTCTGAAGGCAGGAAATGACACCTTATCAAAGCTCCGGAACCAGACTTGTTCAGAGAATTCCTGTGGGGTTTGGCCACCACCTTCTGCTTTGGTTATGGTCTTCTTATCATCTCAAGGAGTGTAATAAGATTTGACTCCCTGCCTAGCCTCTGTGTGAAGATGACCTGAAGGTTCCAGACCTCCTTGTGGTTGCCTTCATGGATGATTTCACAGCTC